CCATGGAACCTAGCAGTCATTGGGTTCGAACCCAATATGCTTGGTTTCTAATCGTTAGGTTTGAATGCTTGGGTTTTAGTTGCTGGAACCCAACAATTGTTGGGTTCCTTCGAACCCAATGCGCCTAAGTTCCATAGAACTCAACGGTTGCTAGGTTCAAATCCAGCATGCTTGGGTTCCAACAGTCACTAAGTTCTTTCGAACCCAACATGCTTAGGTTTGAACCCTACAAATTTTTTGTTTTGTGCAAAAAATTAAAAAAAAAAATTCTATTTGTTGTGGGTTTTGTTGTTTGATAATAATGAATAATTAATTGATGAAGAATGGAATTCTATTTCATTAAATTGATTGTTTGATTCGGAAAAATGGCGATGAAGTGAACTTAGAGAAGGTAAAGAAAGAGAAAAAGAACAACGAATGAAGAAGATTTGATAAATAGGGGGTTGAAGGAAGAAGATGAGGGCAAAATTATAATTTTGGTGGGTCTCACTTTTTATTTTGGTTTTGGGCAAAAATATAACATGTCATGTTGCCATACCATCACTTTTTTCCATTTGTATATCTGATGCGTCTTAAATTTTTGATATGTCATTAAATCCTGTGAGTAAATGATGGATTTTTAATGAAAAGACCAAGTTAAGGTCAAATTAGTGAATAAAATGGATCAAATTGGAGGTTCATATAATAGTTGAGAGATTAAAAAAAGGTTAAAACTCCTTTTTGGTCCCTGAACTATTGTACGGACCCCCGATTTGGTCCATGAACTAAAAAAATTCTTGATTTGGTTCCTACTGTTTACCATTTTTACCCCGATTTGGTCCTTCCGTTAAAAATTGTGTGACGTGGCCTGTTACTTAACGGTTACTAGATGACATGTCATATAGTAATCCACGTGGAAGGTAATATAACCAAAAAGTGATGATGTGGAAAACAAATAATATAAAAAAATATTATGAAAAATAAAACTTAAAATTTTTTTTCTTTTTTCTTTTTTTCTTTTTTCTTTTTTTCTTTTTTCTTTCTCCTTCCCCTTTCTCTTCCTCCTTCCCCTCGGAACCCAGTAGGCTTGGGTTCCTTCGAACCTACCCAGGTGTTGGGTTCGCCTGGGTTCGTCGCTTAGACCTAGGTTCGACGAACCTGGTGCTAGGTTCGACGAACCTGGTGCTAGGTTCGATGAACCTAGGCGATCTGGGTCCATCGAACCCCGGCCGAACCTAGATCGCCTGGGTTTGACGGACCCAGATCGCCTGGGTTCGACGATCCCAAGCTCTGGGTTCCTTCAAACCCAGTGCTGGGTTCGATCGAACCCAGGCACTGGGTTTCTTCTCGAACCTAGGCGCCTGGGTTTTGTTTGCACCCAGGCGCTGGGTTTCTTCTTGAATCTAGGCACTGGGTTCCTTCGAGAACCCAAGAGCTGGGTTCGTTCGAATCCAGAGGCAAAAAAATTTCTGTTTGTTTTTCTTTTTTTGTGGGTTTGGTTGTTTGATTAAGATGAAGAATTGATTGATGAAGAAGGCAAGGCAAGGAAGAGGAAGGAAAAAGAAAGGGCACTTGTTGGGTTCGATATTGAATTGATTGTTTGATTGAATTGATTGTGTAAATGAAGGAAGATTCGAGAAAAAAGATGCTGGAGGAAGAAGATGATGCAAAATTGTAATTTAGTGGGCCCCACTTTTGTTTTTGCGTTGGGTATGACAATGTCATCATTTATCCAGTTGTACAATTGATGTCACTTAAATTTTTGATATATTTGTGAGTTAACGGATGATTTTTAACGAAATGACCAAGTTGGGGTAAAATGGGTAAACAGTAGGGACCAAGTCAGGAATTTTTTTAATTCAAGGACTAAATCAGGGGTCCATACAATAGTTTGGGGACCAAAAAGGGGTTTTAACCTTAAAAAAAAGGGGTTTAACCTTTATATTCCCAGGACCAGATGACTTCATCGGGTCCTTCCCGGAGCCTGCACAGATCAAGGCTTAGCTAGCTAGTTGGTCATTGACGGAAACGGAAACGACAGTTCAGTCAAATTCCCAAAAAAATTTTGAAACCCCAAATTCCCACCAAAATCAACCGCCAATTCATTTTCCCGCATTTAAACGCCTCCGCCCAATACCCACAATAAATAAAATCCACCTCTCTCTTTCCCTTTTACGCTTCCTCCTCTTCTCCACTGTTCCTCCTCTCTATAGCCCTCACTCTTCTCTTTCTCTTCGTTTTGCAGGTTCAATTTCTTCCCCTTTTCCCTTTTAATCGGTAAAATCAAGAGTTCTTTCTTCATGGGTTCCTAGATGAAGTGTGTTTCCTGTTTATTTACCAATTTTTTTTGCCTTTTAAACTAACGATTGAAGTTTGAAATCTCTATTGGGTTGATCTGTTTAGCTTCTTTACAGATCTGGGTCTCTGACATTCTTGTTGTTAAGTTAATGTTTCGTCGATGAATTTTTTGTTTTTTCCCTTTAGGTTTTGATTTCAGTGATTTATTGAATAATTTTGTTGGTTTTTTTTTTTTAATTTTTTTTTAAAAACAACATGGGTAGGTAGGAGATGGCCGGAAAAGGCGGCAAGGGGTTGCTGGCGACCAAAACAACGGCAGCGAGCAAGGACAAGGATAAGGACAAGAAGCGTCCGGTTTCCCGGTCATCTCGTGCTGGCATCCAGGTAAATTGGCAACTCATACACCTGTTTGTTATGATGCCAAAACGAAACATTTTTACTTATACAACAATTTCTTTTTGAATATAGATGGGGCGAAAATTTGTGACCAAAATTTAAGATTAATACTGGGCAGGAAGTTATGTGATTTAAAATATTAAAAAAATAAATTTTATATTATTTAATAATTAAGTTTTTATTTTTTTATGACTTAGTAATATTTTATGGGATGAAAATTTATGACTAAAATTTAAGATTAATAATGTATTATAAGTTATATTATTTAAAATATTAAAAAGTAAATTTTATATTATTTAATGATTAATTATTATTTTTTAGGACTTAATGATATTATATATATTAATTAATCTAATAACATAATATATATTACATTATTAATTTTTAATTTTCATCTTAAATTTTCATCCTCTTATCATTATTTTTTTTTCTTATATAACCATGTCAATTAGGATAAGATTTAGGACAACAAAGGATTGCTACTTCTGTGTTTTTTAAAATTCTAGCATTCTCATTGGAATTTCATCTTTGAGTTGGAGTTTTATCTGTTTTATACGTGTTTGTGAGATTAGAGAGACGAACAGTCTGAATATCTATTGTATGAAAAAAAATTTGCTGCTGATATACTTGATTTGGCTGTTGAAATGTAATAAATTTTTTCTTATGTCAGATCGAAGATGTCCTTATGTTTTATGTATTAATTTTTTTATTTGTGTATGTGATAGGAGGTCATATTATATAGAATTCATATAATTTTAGTTTATGGGATGTTATATTTAGTCTTTTATCACAAACAAAGGCTTGAATATTCATGTTATTCAAAAATTAAAAAATTGCTTGTATTTGAATTCTTTTGTATTAATTGCGAGCTCAAATTTTTCTTGCATTTAAAATAAACTACATGTTTGTAGCTGTAATAATGGGCTCTTGAGAAAATTTCATGGGATTCTTACGTGTGTTGTTCTTATGTTTGAGTTCAGTTTCCTGTTGGTCGGATTCATCGCCATCTCAAGTCCAGAGCTTCTGCAAATGGGCGAGTTGGGGCCACTGCTGCTGTTTACTTGGCCTCAATTCTTGAGTATCTCACTGCTGAGGTCCTTGAGTTGGCTGGAAATGCAAGCAAGGATCTGAAAGTGAAGAGAATAACTCCAAGGCATCTGCAGTTGGCCATCCGGGGAGATGAGGAACTTGACACCCTCATCAAGGGTACCATTGCTGGTGGTGGTGTGATTCCTCACATCCACAAGTCCCTCATCAACAAGACCACTAAAGATTAAGTTAGCTCTTATGATGTCTTCTATGTCAATGTTTGGCTATTGTAGTTTTCTGTCAGGATTTATCTTTGTCATTGTCTCTGCTAGGAACATCAGGGTTACTAGTATATATTTTGTGTAATCTGTGTTTGCAGGTTTCGACTTTGCCAGGGTAGGAATGTTGATTGTTGGATAGTTGTTAACTTATAAGACAGTTTCTTATTTATTCTTTTTGAGCTTTGATTTAGAAGTTTCTACATTTAGCAAGCATTATTGTAGTACTGTTGGTGGTTTCTCTCTAAAGCTGGGTTTGAAGATGCACAAAATAGACTCTAGCCTTTCTTAACTTGTTTTGCTTGAATATGAAATGTTATATCATCTATAAATAATTAGTTTTAGGTTAGATGTTTGTCTTGTATGTAGGCACACTAATTTTCACTACTTGCTCGTCAAAGGCATTGTAATCCCTAACCCCTCCCCTTTGTAACGTACCAACTGCTCTTGTTTCAAAAACAAAATTCTACCAGAATGGTACGGATCCTCAATGTTCAATATATAGCAATATACACAACACAACCCAAGTGCCTATCTCCCTTCGTAGTTGCAGCTCCTTTTCTTCTACCCTAGTTGCCTCCCCTCTCCTCAGTTAGGGAAGATGAATAAAAGTCTCCCTCTCTGACAAACTTCTCTTTAAAGTAAAAATAAGGTTGTTTTAGAATTTTTTTGTGATTTTATTAAAATAACATAATTTT